AACTGTAAAACTTATACTGGCATCAGGCTGCTTAGGGCATTGCTTTTAGCTGCCTCACTAGTCACGAGGTCACAACCGTGTTGCAAAGGATGCAGTCTTGATCGGCTAAACCAGGCTATTCAAGAGAAGGCAAAAAGAGAGATGGGAAAGAAAAGAACCAAGGAAGAGAAGGAACAGGATACACACAGGGATCCAAGTCTCAGATTCTAGTCAGTGGTCAAGATTTAGCTGCTGGTGGTGATGACCATGCCTCTCTGGCCTAATCTGGTCAAGATATTGTCACATTCTGGGGTAATCCAGACATGTGAGCTGTTGTTCCTGAGTGCCTCAAAATGCTCTGCTACTGTAGCTCTTTTGTCTGGACACTTCTAGCCAGCATACAAGCTTTTGCTATCTTTTAAGTAGCTCTGCCTCAGTGATTCTGATTCCAGCAGCCTGCTTGTTACATCTGGCAAGATGACCCCAATGCCCCCATCCCAAATGTTCACAAAACCATGTACACTGCAATGTCCAGCCCCCTCCAAGACCATTCAGAGAGATTAAGGTTTGTTTGTTGCTTTAAAGATTCAATACTCAGCAGCTTGACACATTAATTGGAGTTAACATTCACTTTAAATCAAGCACAGCACTAGGTTTCTTTAGATTAAAACACGTTCCTTAGCAATAGGAGATGGGATTTTAAGTGAATTCAAGTATAAACGAATTAGAAATGATTACATGCAAATAAAATTGAAAATGCTTTCTAGACTTAACAAAGAAAGCTATAGCCTTTGTTCAAGCTAATTTCCTTTCCAGTCTACCTTGCCAGCAAGATGGCTGACCACCTCTCTGGTCAGGATCTCCCACAAAGTCCAAAGTGCTCAGTTCTTTTGTTGCCGTAAGTGAAAGGTAACGTGTCCTGCCCCTTTCTTTTATAGTCTGTTGAACCTTTGATATGTATTGTTCTTAAAGTTACCCCCCAAAATAAAGTTTGTGAAAGCTGTGAGGAAGGTGACATGGAGTCTGGGGGTGAAGGGAGTTCCATGCAGGTTTCTTCCCTGCTGGTGTTCGCTAAAATGCAAATTATTTGTTTCTTCAATCTCCTTCCCCTGTGGTGAATGTTGAATGGTTGTCTCTTCCCCTTGTTGGCTTCATGGTCCTGTTTACCTTCTATTAAAATTGCATTCCCATTGTTTCATTGTAAACTGGAAATACCTCTTTCAGGTGACAAAATTACATTCCTTTGTTTAGGGTGGGGTACCTTCAGCCTTGCCTGGAAGACACACTTTGATAACATAATTTCCAATATAGCTGTAATCTTGAATTTGAGCTTCATACATACACCACACAATAATATTAATGATCAGTATGTTAACTGTATCTAGAACATGTCATTAGTAAGTTGGGGTACACTGAACTGGTCAGGCAAGCTGACTAGTGCCAATATCAGTGAGCCCCTTGCCCTCTTGCGTTGGGATACCGCCGGAGTCATATGTATCGATCAGGACACTGAAGGCCCAATGGTGTAATGGTGGATCCTGGGGTTCCAGGAGACAGTGGGGGTGCCAATGGAAACTAGACACCAGGAAACCTTTCCTCAGGCAGCCATAATGGTGAAGCTCACTCTTTTCAGTCCACTTGCTCCCACCGACAAACAATGTCCAAGGAAGGTGTGGCAGTCTCAAGCCATTTGCATTCACCAGTCTAAACACATTTTGGTAATTTCAAATGTAAACATTTCATTCCACTCCTAGAATTGTTCAGCTTACTGTTGTAACAACCCATGATTTTACCAGTCGCCTCGAGGACCCCTTATCACACTGCTTTTAGCCTAAACAATTCTGTTTGTACCAGATTTATCTCCAGTTTTTGCTGAATTTCATAAACAATTTTATGAAGCAGGCTGAGCTGGACACTTGTTGCCTTGGTCAACTTACAGTACAGGCTTCTGAACAACAGCAGTCCCATTGTACCTCAGTGAGATCAGAGTAGGATATCTCTTGATATGAGGAATAGACTCTGGCCCTTATCGATTTATGTTTTCTGTTCTTACATGTGCATTAGTCCAGGCAGTGTGTAGTGAAGTAGATGAAAGCCCCTTAACATGCAGTGCTTCCAGTCTCCATGTAAAATCAGGGGACCCCCATGTTTGTGATCAATCCCCACACATTGCTACCACAAAACTGTGTAGGTATCTTTTATTCCAGTTTCCTATGCCTCCATATAAACTCTCAACCACCATTTTTCCAGATCACATAGAAGCCCTTCAGGTTTTATTTCATGACTCATACAGAAGCATTAACCTTTTGCCCTGGTCATTAGTGAAAGAAGCAGTTGTTTTTAATTTGCATTATAAAATATTTTGTTCATAATAATTCATCAGGTATTTTGATGTGTATACAACTTAGTGATACTAATATATAATGGTATAGCACTTGTGGCACATCAGTCATACCCATTAAATGTAGGGCCTGATCCTGTTTCCATTGAAGCCAGTTAGTGTGTTACCATACGTACAGTGGCACCAGGATCAACTTCATAGTGGGAACCTTTCAGAAACATCTCCAGACAGGAGATTTGAGGAAGGCAATCTCTTTTAAAACAACCTGTAGACATTAGTTCCTCTTATGCCACTTAAGTCCAGTTCCTCCATTGATCACAGTCCCTCGTCTCTTTTTGTTAGATACTGTTGGAGGCCAAGTCTCTACTCTGTACAGTAGCATGCTCAATACAATAACAAATTAATTTAAAACACTGGTGACATTCAAGACTGTAAATTAATTATTTAACAGGCCAATATTTTTGGATCAGTAATTTATTTGCCCAGGAAATCTTGGCCAGGGTGTAAAATGACTTGTTTTAATTGTAAGCCATGTGTCTGCCTCTACCATACTACTGAGTTCACTGATGCACAAAGTGAAGTAGCTTCACCAGGGACTCACACAGTGAATCGGCTCTGGTTCAGATAGTTTTACAAGATGCTATGGTTGGCTTCCATTATTTTGTTCTGTAGCTATTACACTGTGTGGCCTCCATGCTGTTCCCGTTACCAGCAGATTTCTGTCTCTACTGAGAGTCCATCAGTGGTCTTAAGAAGACATAATTCTGAAATGCACAGAAATCACCATGGTAATTGTTTTAATTTATAAGTTTCCACTATGGGCTCTTTTGAAAGGACCTAATTTAGATGGATGTATACAGCCAAATATTACTAAAATAGAATTCAGCTGCCCAGAATTGTGTATTTTTATGCAAAATGTATACAATTTTCTGAGGGGAGGGAGGACAGCTGCTTCAATTTCTAAGCAGCATACGATCCACATATGATCCATATTTATTTTTACTTTATCAACAATGTTTCCTTTAGACTTAAGACCTCTCACCTTGAGCTGTTCGGTTTTTTAGAGCAAGGTTTTTTATTTACTAGCAGGAAAGTCCACATATTCATTACAGTGGGTCTTACACCTGCTTACAGCTTACTGGAGGCAGAACCAGACCTGTCAATTAAGGCAGGTTGTTAGTGTCCACACCCTTGAAGACCCAGCCAGATTAATTTTCCTCTCCCACCTGCAGGAAGGCTTTAGCAAGCCTACTGCTTGGAGCAACGAGAAAACAAAACCACTGAAAAGAAGTATCTTTCATTCTCAATGTTCAGTTTATTGGTGGTATGAGGCTGTTATTTAGCCTCAGGGACTCTTCAAAAAGATTGCTGGAAGCCCTCTTCTGATACTGTGGGGGTTGCCTTGCTTCTCAACTCTACACCAATGGGGAGAAATCCCTCCTGAGACCTAAATCTTGCACTGAATGCCCTAACTAAGCATCCTTTATTTAAACTTAAGTGAAAATGTCCTTTTCTCTAGATGCAAGTCTGCAGATGCAACCCATGAGGCACAAAGATTATAGTTCTGAGGACCACTTAAACTCTCACATTTTCCTTAATGTTCTTCATGGTAGTTGTCCGTTTTCTGACTTTAAGTTGTCTTCCAAAGCAACCCTTGGCGGTATTTCTAGATAGCTTTCTTCAGTTTACATGGAACACTGGAGTACTCAGTTGCTGCGTTATATTTGACATAAACTAGTATTAGTTGCAAGGCTTTTGTTAGCTGAAAAATACATGTCTGACAAAACACTTCAGAGCGAATGACTGACAGGTGTTTTATCATAGTAAAAAGTAGGTGAAAATGCAAAAAAAAAATTAAGATTTAAAAGCTTAGTTGGCATGTTACATCTCTTCAATGATACTCTTCAGCACAGCTAATCCTTTAAAATCTTCTCACTATATTTGTATTTCAATATCTTTTCACAGGTGTCTCCAGTATTTGATTCTAATTGCTCCTAATTGTATCCTTGAATCAGAGAGGTTCAAAGAGCTACCAATCGGAATTTACCCCTTCTTAGGAAGAGCTAAGCATTACATAGGACTGGGCCCTATTTTTATACATCTTCTAATTCTGGCTTCTCCACAAATTTACTTTTGATCTCAGTGTTCTCAGTAATGTATTTCTCACCCCCTGTCCCCCAAACTTTGTTTTGTGCGTATTTAGGTCTCATGAAGATTGAGAGTCTAACAGCTCTTACTTGCTATAAGACAAGTATGGACTTGTATTGGTCTGCATCAGCCTAGTGGTTAAACTTCTGAGAAGACCACTGCCTGTCAGTTATTTCACGAATAAAATAAAGTAACTTTTTGACTCTAGTCTTAATTTCAGCCAATATAAAGAAAGTAGAATAGAATATAATAGCGATTTCAGCTACTGCCTGGGTATAGGCAAATCATACTCCTCTTTGGAGATCTGTATGTCTCTAATGTGGAAGTGGTTTATAGGTGGTCAGAATCTTTATTTGGAATATGAAGCATGTCACTTTCATAATGCAGCCAAGTTAATTCTTCATTTAGTTGATTTTTTTTTTTGGAGATCCATCCTTATGGGAGTTTTATCCCCATATTCTATTCATGAAAGCTATGTCTAAATTGGTTCAGATCTTTCATCTGATTATTTTCTTTTTTACTACACTTTAGCATGCACTTAATTCAGGTGGATTCCGTGCAGCGTTGGATGGAGGACTTGAAGTTGATGACGGATTGTGAATGTATGTGTATTCTTCAGTCCAAACCAATCAGCACAGAGGAGGATGCACAGAATGAACTTATCCTTTCATCACAACATAGTGCATATGATAACTTGCAGTTATTGTTAAAAAGGGCTTGGATCATAAGCACAGAGTTGACCAGGATTGCTCAAAAACTAGAGAAGAACAGATGGCAAAGAGTTCACAGCATGACAGTAAGAGTCAATTGTCACGTACGTTCAATGATAAACGAATACAATAGCTTCACTAGAAATTCCTCAGAAGAAATGCACCAGGTAGGATTATTTCTTCAATATTGATTTGTTTGTCAATTTGAATTTATAAACTATCTTTAGAATTTGGGAGCTGATAGATCTGGTGAGGGCAACCTTTGTATTTTTTTTTTAATTACAATAATGGCAAATCATTCTGAACAGTGAGAAAGACTCCATATCTCAGAACAATCCAGTCTCCCTGTGGGTGTATAAACAAACATGTCTTATGTTTGGATTAGTGTTTTTATGGGCCTGATTCTGCCAGTTTTACTTATGTTGAGTAGTTCACTCCATGGGGCCTACTGGAATTGAGTCTTATTTTCAGTTAAGATGTAGAAAATGTTCTTATGGGACTGGGACTGGCTTAGCTCCAGTTTTTATCTCTATTATAATTAACCACAGATGCCAATAAAAAGGGAAATTAAAAAAAAAAAGATGTTCACAAAATATCTTCTTGACTATTTCTATTTACTGTAATCAAGTGTAATCTTATTGAAAGAAGATCTATATTGCATACATTATTTCAAACACATTTTTGTCTTTTTTCCCCCCTGCAGTTTGAAAAACTTTTAATTGAAAAATGTTCAGAATTTACAGCAGTCACGGAAAGGTAACTTCAATTTTCTGAACTGGATAGTCAGTTTTGCTTCTTAACTATTGGTTACAAGCTGTGGCAGTTTTAATGAGGGAGGCAAATCCAACTAACGCCCATTGAACGTTTAATTGAGTATGTGCAGCTTTCATTAAAATGCCCTCTGATTATTGGGCCATCAGTGCCTTAAGTTAGGTACTTAGTTATATCCATATTTAGACCCTGATCTTTCATTAGGATCTGTTGTTGAACAGGGAACTTGGCATGGAACAAGGATCAATGCTAGTGTATTGTGATGCTTTACACCCTCAGGGCTTTAGGCACTGAGGGTGAAAATCTTGCTCTATTGAAATCAATAACAAAACTACCATTGACTTTAGTGGGGCCAGGATTTCAAGCTAAGTTTGAAAACTGCAGTCCTGGTTCATGTTTGAAAACAATGATACCACATGTTCATGTACTGCTGCAAGTTTTTTGTTAGTCTGTTCCCTAAGCACAGATATGTATTCACTGGCATTAGTTAGGTTAGAGTCACTGATATAAGCACTATACAACATTGTTAAAGTGAGAGTTGTGAAAGAATTCTTCTCATGCTGATGCTCTGATTCTAACAGAACTTTCCTTATTTGCACAGTCGCGCCAATCAATAGTCTCATTTGATTTACTTTAAACACAGCCTGTCACTCATCTTTAGAAAAAAACATAATACATAATTACCAGAAAATAGAAAATGTGTTTCTTGAACACTGTTGCTCTTCACGTGTGTCCTAGAGCACACTCTGATGGGGTAGGCAAACCCCACACTGCAGAGCAAGGAATTAAGGAACAGCTTTGGGGCCCAGGCAGCCCTGCCCAGACACATCTGCAGAGCCTGCACAAGCTGGAGGCAGGGCTTTAAAAAGGGGAGCTGAGCAGCTCGGAGGCAGGCAGTGGAAGGAAACAGATGGCTGATCTGAGGGGAAAGGACTGCCCAGGAACTCACTGCCTGGGACCTGACAACACAGGCCTGTGCAAACGCACAAAGGAGAAGCAGGACAGAGTGTGTGGGTCAGAGACTTGATTGGAATGATTTACACAGGGAAGCTGAATGAGACCAAAGTAGGAAGTGGTCAGGGGAGGCAGCAGCTTAGCTCCCCAAGGTGTTGGGTGTAGTTGCCCCTGGTCTCCCCTACCCACTCCGAAAGGACAATACAACAAGAGCCTTCACTTCCAGTGAGAGGGCAGCTGGAAAAGATACTGACTGTTCAAAGGCCCAGCCCTGAATGCCCCTGACTAAAGGGAAGGACTGAAAACCCTTGGGATGGGGGCGCTGAAGGACAGGACTGTGCTTCAATGGGGAAATGTACTGTCAACCATCACCTGACCACTAGGTCATACTGTCAGTTGTTCATCTTCTACAGACTCATTGACTTCGGTCAGAGCTGTAAGTGCTGAGCACTTCTAAAAATCAGGCTATTTGTGCATCTGCTTCAATTTATATGGGCTATGAGTGGTGGATGGGAAGTGGTGAGGTTAAAAGAACTGCTGAAGGGAGTGGCAATGGGGATGTTGAATGACTGAACTGTTTATTGCTTTGCTTTTTCTGGGTTTTGTTGGTTGCATATATGATCTACTAATCTTAATTCGAGTAAATGAGTTTTTTATGGGGGAATATTATATAAATCCCCCTGGTCCCTCTGTCGGCTGCTTCTGGGAGCCGCCTGAGGTAAGCGCTGCCCAGATCTGCACCCCAGCTCCTTGCCCAGGTCGGAACCTCCTCCCACACCCTAACTCCCTCCCAGACCCTGCACCCCAACCCTCTTCCCAGCTCTGAGTCTCCTCCTGCAACCCAAACCTCTCATTTCTGGCCCCACCCCGGAGCCCACACACCCAGCCAGAACCCTCACCCCCTCCCACACCCCAACCACCTGCCCGGGCCCAGTGAAAGTGAATGAGGGTGAGGAAAGCAAGCGATGGAGTGAGCAGAGGGCAGGGCCTTGGGGAAGGGGTGGGGCAAGGATGTTTGGTTTTGTGCAATTAGAAAGTTGGCAACCATAATCTCATCGGATATTATAAGCTAAACAGAGTTGGGCCTGGTCAATAATACTCAGATAAAAGATATCCAAAGACAACTAAAGTGCTCTAAGAAGTTGTGCGCATAATTCTGCAGACCATTGGTTCTCAAAGCTGGTCCGCCGCTTGTTCAGGGAAAGCCTCTGCTGGGCCGGACCGGTTTGTTTACCTGCCGCGTCCGCAGGTTCAGCCAATTGTGGCTCCCACTGGCCGTGGTTCGCCGCTCCAGGCCAATGGGGGCTGCGGGAAGGGCGGCCAGCACATCCCTTGGCCCACGCTGCTTCCCGCAGCCCCCATTCGCTTGGAGCAGCGAACCGTGTCCAGTGGGAGCTGCGATCGGCCGAACCTGCGGACGTGGCAGGTAAACAAACCGGTCAGGCCCAGCAGAGGCTTTCCCTGAACAAGCGGCGGACCGGCTTTGAGAACCACTGCTGTAGACCTCACTCTAGGCTTTGTCTGCATGAAAATAATCCCCCTCCACAGTGCTAGGAAGAACTGTACAAATGGAGACACAATCTTTTAGATGTGATACAAAACTGAGACCCTGACTATTTGTGGCTGTTCTAATAGCTAATGACATATTAGATGAGTAAGGATGTTAACCCTGGTAATCCTGCCCCAAATTTTTGGATATTTCTTATTGTTAGCATAGAGAACATTGTTACTGTTTAACAATATTTTGGCTACCCAAATTCTTCCTGTATCTGTAAAAGTTATTCTCCATCTTCCCTCATGGAAACTGTAGCCAAGGGTTGTTGGGCACAGAATGGCTCTTGCATTCAATCCTTGAGGTTGCTGTATTTTCGTAGTGGTAAGTGCTCTGTGTGTATAGAGGGCTAATTTCTGCTCTCAGGTACACCATTTTAAATCCAGACTAACTCCATTGACATGGACACCTTGACTTATACTTATTAGGGCCTTGATCCTACTCCCATTTAAAATATGGAAAATTAAACTTACTGAGAAAAAATTTGGCTCTGCAAATAGAGGACGTACATTCCTACAACTGAAATGCAGACACCTCAGGGTGGATCGCAGCAGCCATTTGATGCACAGCAACACTAAACTTTAGTCAACAGTGGTGGAGTTACTCTGGATATATCCCAGTGTACTTGAAAACAGAATTTGTCACACAGTCTATGAAGTGCATTGTGAACCTGTAAGATATTAATTTATAATATTATCATTTGACTTCTTCCTTACCTTGGACAGACAAGACTTTGCTAAAAGCCTCTTCTGACGTTAACTATAATAAGGCTGCACCTTGACTTGAACAGTTGAATCTCCATTATTAACATTTGTGCAACATAAAGTGCTTGGTTAGCTCAATCAGCTTGATAAAAGTGATGCCTAATGTGGGTATTTTTCTCATTCATTTCCCTTCAATTTCTTTTCAGGTGCATACAAACTGAAGACAAACGGACATTACAGTCCATGAAATCTTGTATTCATGAAACATTAACCACAGTCGCACAGTATTTCGGCCAGTTGATAGAATTGGCCTTAACATATGAGATACAGGTCAGTAAAAGCTGAATGCATTTGTTTTAAAACATCATATTGAAGGGGAGTGTTTTTTTGTTTTGAATGGTGGAAGTAAAATATTTACAGCCCTCAGTCCCTACAAACCTGAGGTTGGTGCTTCAAGCATCCTGAAAACTGTTCCAATTTTGTTTTGAGACAGAGTATCTCATAGGCCCTGAAAGTAACCTATTCAAGTCTTCCCATAGCCCATCACTGATCAGACCCTTCTCTGATGTCATCTGCACTTAGTTTTTCCAGTACACCAGTATACTTCACTTTCTTTGTTGATTGATCTGGTTCTGATATCCCCCCCAAAATAATCATGTGGCTGCCTGAGTTGGTCACTTCCGCTGTCAGGCTCTCTTCTGTTTAAGGAGGTGACCTCTGGACAGTGTCCAAATAATGATTCAGTGCAATGGATCTGCTTCCACTCATGCTGTTGTTGTTGTTGTTATGCTTATTACAGTAGTGCCTAAGGACCAACCAAGAATGGGGCCCCGTTGTGCGAGGCACTGTACAGACCAGTAAAAAGGGTAGAACACACAAGCAGAGTGAAAAATATGATGGGTGGGTTTAGGAGGTAGATCAGATAATTGAAAGCGAAAGGAGATGAAAGGGATAGGGAAGGGGTTAAGAGGGTCAGGTATGGAAGACAGGTGAAGAGACACTAAGGGAAGGAGGAAGAGGGGACTGGCATAAACATCCAATCAATACAGATCAGTCAAAACTTTGGGAAGTTCTCTGAATGTCCAAAGGTCCCTGCATTGACTGTTTCTGCTCCTACCAGCTGGAGTCTTCAGCTCCTTTTTGCCGTTTCTATCTCAAGGCCATATGATGGGAGGTTGGGGAGGTGCCATGTGCCCCTAGAGCATCCGTGGTCTCTCCTGCACAGTTCTGGGGGTGGGAAGGGAGCTCCAGTTGGGCCCCATTTTACCATCTTATGCAAGGGGAACAGTCCCTGCTTTGGATCCTACTGGCTGGAGTTGCTGTCTGGCTCCTCTCCGCAGGTTTTCCCCACAAGGCCACATCGGTCCTAGACTTTAGTTCTAATAAGTGAAATATGTAGGGGAGTGCTGGAACGGTGGGGCGATGCGGGCGGCTGGGCTGGGGCCTCCCCCAGGCGAGTGGGGTGGAGGGGACACGACGGGGTGGGTGATACCGCCTGCGCTCCTCTGCCGGGGGAGGGGCTACTCCCCCCGAATCGCAACGTGCTCCTGCTGCCCTGTCCCAGCTCCTGCACGCCCCTTGCCGCCTCGCGATGAGCAGCGGGGTGGGCCCAGCCTCAGAGCTGCCCCTTCCCTGAGTCTTGCCTCAGCATCGGCTGCGAGGCCCCTGGACCACCACGGGGGCGGGTCCTTTCAGGCCTGCTTCAGCCGTACACCCCTCCAAGCCTGCAGAGTAGGGATTTGCCCCGGCCCCCTAACGACCTCTCTCCGCGGCTGTGCCCCTGGGAGAGGCTGCATTGCAGTGCTACTGTCCGCATATAGCTGGTGTGCTGTGACTGGGGGCTCCTTGGGGCAGGGACCAGTGTCTTGTGTTTGGTTTCAGAGTAGCAGCCGTGTTAGTCTGTATTTGCAAAAAGAAAGGGAGTATTTGTGGCACCTTGGAGACTAGCCAATTTGTTTGAGCGTGGGCTTTCGTGGGCTACAGCTCACTTCATCGGATGCATTCGATGGGGTGGGCTGTAGCTCACGAGGGCTTGTGCTCAGGTGGGTTGGTTGATCTCTGGGGTGCCACGGGTACTCCTTTTCTTTTTGTCTTGTGTTTGTGCAGTGCCTGGCACAGCGGGGCTCCCCTACCTCAATCCAAATAAGGTATAGAAAATATGAGGATATTCTGGGAACTGAGGGAACTGGGATTGTTTAGTCTGCGGAAGAGAAGAGTGAGGGGGAATTTGATAGCTGCTTTCAACTATCTGAAAGGGGGTTCCAAAGAGGATGGATCTAGACTGTTCTCAGGGGTAGCAGATGACAGAACGAGGAGCAGTGGGGGCGGTTTAGGTTGGATATTTGGAAACACTTTTTCACTAGGAGGGTGATGAAACACTGGAATGCGTTACCTAGGGAGGTGGTGGAATCTCCTTCCTTAGAAGTTTTTAAGGTCAGGCTTGACAAAGCCCTGGCTGGGATGATTTAGTTGGGATTGGTTCTGCTTTGAGCAGGGGGTTGGACTAGATGACCTCCTGAGGTCCCTTCCAACCCTGATATTCTGTGATTCTGTGATGTAACTGTGTATGAGCTAAACAAGCTCATTAGCCTTTTTTCCCTCCCCCAAACCAGAAAATAACCAGTTAATGAAAGATGGAAAAAGACACAAGCAGTGCCTCTTCTTACTCACAAATAGAAGATTTTTCTCCCTCCCCACGTAAGACCAAAGGATGCTGGAGAACAAACCCCTACTTGCACATAATCTTTTCAGTAAATGCACTGTATGGTCATAGAACTTATCATTTAACCACCTTTTGGAAATATAAGGACTGAGACTGTGGCATTGGATTGGGATTACATATATATTTACCCTGGGAACATTCTTTAAATGGTAACAACTCAATCTGTACCAATCTGGCTAGATTTAAACTGGTGACTTGCTCGTTATGCCATTATTAATTCCCTTAACCATCTATTATGCTCTGTGTATTGTAGTATTTGTGCACACTTCAGAGCTGATGCTAATACAGCCCAGAAATGTTATGTTTTCACTGCAGAAAAGGAACATGAAGGGCTGAGAATGGAGGAAATAGTTATAGTACTTTGATTACTTTGCCAAAATTAAATTGCTTCTGTGCTCTAACTTAGAGCAGAGTTTAACTTGTTGTCTTAAGAGATTCAAACCCATTATGGCCTGTTTGTTACCTTCCTCTCTGTCTAATATCTTAGTTTTAAAACAGATTGTTGCCAAGGAAATGGGAAGCTAGAGAAGCAATTTTCAGCATTGCAGAGCTAAGTCGAGGTAACAAGCTGCCTGCTGTTGAGCTTTAGTTATGTTTTATGGGAACCATATGTAACGCCACAAATGATTCCAAGCATAAATAGCTGTGTAAATAATTTAAGTCATTATTTCAATTTAGCAAATGAAGTAACTAGGCTGTACTTAGATTTTCCTTTTTTCTTTACCTTAACTAAAAGGTAGAGAAGTAGGATTCACTTTATAGTTAAGGACACTATCTTTGTGTGAAATATCGAATCACTTAATTTTAAGGGAAGCAGAAATAATTTCTCTGAGCGATTGTATATGGAAGAGCAGTGTGTGTTTGAGTGGGTGAAAATATGGAAAGAGTTCAGGGTTACTAATACAAAAGCACTTTTAGAAACTGTTTAAAATCTTTTCAATTTTGTTTTATGTTACCTGGCATAGTACATTATACAGTCCCTCCTGAAAAATGTGTCCCTCCTCGGAACTCAAAGGATCTATTCCTTTTGTTCTAGTGCTCAGAGTCCATTAGGATAGTTACTGAGGCTGCCCATTGACTGGATGCCTGGTCTCTGTGTGCTTGGCTAAAACTAGAAATTTTGTGAGCTAGTATAGCACTGCTTGGGAACCACAAGTATGAGTCAGGTGAGCCTGTTGAGGTCAGAACTGCCAACTCAAACAGCATCTCTCTGTCCTGATTAATGTTACTGTGACGTTACACCCCATATTCTTCATAGAAATATGGTTATGATATGAATATGGCCTAAGATATATTTTATGCAAGATGGGTCTTGTAAGGTATCATTGGAAAGGTTATGATTTACTGAATGTGATTATCCAATTTGAATTCATGTATAATTTCTGTATCTAAAGTTAGAAATATTGACTATGTAACAATTACAAATGGGTGTGTACTTGGGGGAATGCTTACCAGACAGTAAGCAATCATCCTGGATAAGCCATTAAGGAGAACCATAGAACTGTGCAGATACTAATCTCTCTCCTTCCAGAGAAGTGTCCTGGGACATACTTGTCACCTGGTATTAAACACCAAGTTGGACTTCTAGTAATTTCCCACTAAAAGGCGGGGGAGGTCAAGACTGGGAAACAAAAGATTCCCGCCTTATGTAAATCTTATTTAAGGCTGGGGAGTAGGTTGATCTGGACTCTCTCTTCACTGCCTTCCCAACCAAGAAGAAAGACTGCTAAAAGTACTTGAAGAGACAAAGGAACTAAGCTGAGGGAAAGGCAAGGGCTGAGTTCAGACTGAGACAGAGGAGTCTAGTCTGTAAAGAGAAATAACTGGAAATCTAAGCTACAGAAACTCTGCATCCTGCCTTAAGTCAACATTTAGGGTGAGAAATTACATTTTGCAATGTGTTTCTTTAGTGAATCAAGTTTAGTTTTGCGTGTTTTGTTTTATTTGCTTAGTAATCTGCTTTGTTCTGTTTGCTATCTCTTATAATCACTTAAAATTTACCTTTAATAGTTAATACACTTATTTCTTGTTTATAACAACCCAGTTTGTGCAATTTATAACTGTGTGTAGGGGGAGAAGTTGTGCATATCTCTCTTCACATTGAGGGAGAGGGCAAATTTTGATGAGCTTGGGATGTGCAGATCTTTCTATATAGTGCAAGACAATATTATCCTGGGTGTACTTTCCAGAGGGACGCCACGCTGGGCAAATTCCTCGCTGAACCTTCCCATAGAGAAGTGTTTGCAGCCTCTGTGTGATTCTACAGCCGGTGCTCCCTACGTACGTGTGTGTGTGTGTGCATGCAGCTAGGGAGCCTGATTCAGCAAAACAGGGAGAGGGAGCTCAGGCTAGAGGAGCAGGAGGGCTGAGTGAAATCCCAGTGCATCACGTGGCATCCCAGAAGGGGGGTCCAACCCGTCACAGTTGCCATGGATTGTGAGGATTTTACTCCTGTCTGGATAAATGTTAAAATGTAAAACAATAGGTTCTGTGGCTTTCTAAGAAGACTTTTTGGGCAGTGGTGCTAAAAGTTAAAGACAGAAATACAGCCTGTTGAAGAGAAGAGGACTGAATTTTGGCTCATAAGCGGGGATTTTTTTCTGCACTTCTTCCAAAGATATGAGAAAAATAAAGATAGACTCATAGATATTAATGTCAGAAGGGACCATTATGATCATCTAGTCTGACCTCCTGCACAATGCAGGCCACAGAATCTCACCCACCCACTCCTGCAATAAACTTCTCACCTATGTCTGAGCTATTGAACTCCTCAAATCGTGGTTTAAAGACTTCGAGGTGCAGAGAATCCTCCAGCAAGTGACCCGTGCTCTACGCTGCAGAGGAAGGCGAAAAACCCCCAGGGCCTCTGCCAATCTGCCCTGGAGGAAAATTCCTTCCCGACCTCAAATATGGCGATCAGCTGAACCCTGAGCATGTGGGCAAGATTCACCAGCCAGATACCCAGGAAAGAATTCTCTGTAGTAACTCAGATCCCATCCCATCACAGGCCATTGGGCCTATTTACCATGAATAGTTAAAGATCAATTAATTGCCAGAATCATGTTATCCCATCATACCATCTCCTCCATAAACTTATCGAGTTTAATCTTGAAGCCAGATAGGTCTTTTGCCCGCACTGCTTCCCTTGGAAGGCTATTCCAGAGCTTCACTCCTCTGATGTTTAGAAACCTTTGTCTAATTTCAAGTCTAAACTTCCCGATGGCCAGTTTATATCCATTTCTTCTTGTGTCCACATTGGTACTGAGCTTAAATAATTCCTCTCCCTCTCCGGTATTTATCCCTCTGATATATTTATACAGACCAATCATATCTCCCCTCAACCTTCTTTTGGTTAGGCTAAACAAGCCAAGCTCCTTGAGGCTCCTTTCATAACACAGGTTTTCCATTCCTCGGGTCATCCTAGTAGCCCTTCTCTGTACCTGTTCCAGTTTGAATTCATCCTTCTTAAACATGGGAGACCAGAACTGCACACAGTATTCCAGGTGAGGTCTCACCAGTGCCTTGTCTAACGGTACTAACACCTCCTTATCACTACTGGAAATACCTCTCCTGATGCATCCCAAGACTGCATTAGCTTTTTTCACGGCCATATCACATTGGCGGCTCATAATCATCTCCAATACTCCAAGGTCCTTCTCCTCCTCTATTACTTCTAATTGATGCATCCCTAGTTTATAACTAAAATTCTTGTTATTAATCCCTAAATGCATGACCATACACTTCTCACTATTAAATTTCATCCTATTACTATTACTCCAGTTTACAAGGTCATCCAAATACATAGCTTCTCTTTCTTAAAAGCTGTATTTCTTCTTTGTAATGATAACATGCACTGGTGGAGAGAACAACATTAGATGTAGCATCATGGAGCCTCTCCTCTTCTAACAATCCCCTTAATCTGTGCAAATGCAGTGGTACACATGCAAAACCAAGATAACGATTTTAAAAGAAAATATGCATTTAATCAATTACATTTACTGGCGACTTAATCAGTGTTTTTTCTGTCACAAGGCCATGCACTGACTATGATACTTCCTCTATAGTTTGAGGGTCGTTAATAGATCTTAGCAGAATCCTATTATAGAACTGTGGAAACTAGAAGAGGAAAAGGCCTGTTAGGTCAGTAGTCTGCAGCATTACTCTGGTGTAAAAATAGGAGATTCATAGCATTATGTCAGTTTTGAGCTAGGCAAATTAATCACCCTTTGCAAATCATAGAATAATTCCATGCTAAATCAAATAATGTTCTCCCAAATAATTGCAGTGCTCTTTGTTCAGTATTTTAAACGTTGTTATTTTCTTAATAGAGATCTCTATATAAAGAGGTGTAGGGGCAAATTCTACCCTCAGTTACATCTATGCAGTTGAAATAAGTATGGTAACCCAGTGTTAACAAGGGCAGAATTTGGCCCATACAATGTCTTTTTCTCTCTCTCTCCCTTCACTGTGTGATTAGTAACTTTGAAACTGGTTAAACTGACTAGATTCAGTTACTCCAACCTAAAAGAAAAAACACAGCTATCCCCCCTTGATTCTTTTCATTGGAAGTAACTGGTGTTTATTATCTTTTTGTGTTGCACAGAATCTTGTGAGACAAATAAATTCATCAGATAATATATATATCACCGAATCATCTACCAGTGGTTTATTCAGCCTTACCCAAGAGGGTGCTCAATTGTGCCGCATCATAGCTAAGGTAAGGTGCACACAAATTCATTCAATGTAGAGTTAACTGGCTTTTTTTTTTTTATAGTTGAAGTGGTCCAGAGGTTTCCCAAGTGTTGGAGGTGCAATGCTGGGGAAGCTACTTCCTGTTCAGAGAGGAATCCAGCAGTAAATCTAGAACTGGATTAATTACCATGTATTATGGGAATGGTTGGTTTAGAGTTACTAATTGGACATTTATGATAAACATACTGTACAGGTTGTAATATGAAATTCTATAGTGCAGCAGGCTGGAACTTTTTATTTCAGCTAATCCAGTTTAATGAAAAAATAAATTTTTACTTTAAGAAACCATGTTTTTCTTTTTTTAATTTAAAAATATCAAAAGAGACGGACATACAGGGGAGTGGCAGCTGGGTAGAGGATGGCACAGATGCTGTTGCATTGCAGGTGTCATGGAACATGTGACCCTATCTCAGTACTGACATTTTAAGTGTAATTGTGGTGTTCGTAATGTAGCTATTTATGTAGAGGTTGAATTTTTCATGAGGCGCTAATTCAATATTTTCCCCCTTAAATTTCCATCTGTGCGGCTAGAAGAGCTGAATGGTAATGGTGGAATTCTAAACCCTCCTGAAATAGGCCATGATTCAGTCTGAACACAAATAGAACACAGCATGTTTGTTAAGGGGATAATTACATCACATCACTGTATTATGATGACAACCCAGAAGAACCGGTCTTACTGGAACCCAGCCTTGTTATTGGTGCATGAATTGGATAGAGAGGGCTGGCTGCTTTCCTGTATGGCTAACCTTTTGTCGTCTATTCTCTAGGGATAGGCTTTTGATGAGTTACGGGTTGTTATGGGCTTCTTAATAGTGTACGCTCCCATCCTCACCACCCCAAACACTGTGTACTAGGCATCAGAGTGACCGCTGTAATTTCTAACCTACTGTCCACTGGAATTTTATGCTTCAGTGAAAACTACCCTTATTTTACTCCAGAACAGCGTTTTGAAAATTCACTTTGTGCCATTCAAAAATCATATGCCATATACAACCCCAATCTGTACACAACATCTATTGATATCAGCGGGAATTCTGCCATGAATTGAAGGATATCTGAGAATAAAGGAGTCTGTTGTTCCCTTGATATTCAGGCCTAGCACCTATTAATATTTATGAAACTTACATGGACATGGACAAGAGGAGAATGGACCATTCACGTTTCTAGTTTCCTTACCATTTCTAAATCTGCAACTAGCTGTGGATATCTTAAATTTATTATGTGTTTTGCTTAGCTATTTAATTCCACAAGCCATTACAAGAATAAATCCAGGCATTTTTGTAGTAAATTATCTTTTGCCCATTGACAACACTTAAATTTCAATTGGATCAAGACATTATTTCTTATCAGATATAAAAGGAGCATCATGTTCTTTTGAGACATATTGATTGATAAAACTCTGAATTTCTGGATGGATGTATGAATTTAACTGACACTCTGTAGGAATTTAACTGATCATCATTTTCAACAGGAAAGGGCAGTAGATGCATGAAGAATTCATTTTTATCTGTCAGTCATTTTAGCAGCTTTTAGAAACATTTAGCATCAATAAAGAGTAGGCTTAAAACGTTTTGTTTATGTTTTTAAAACTGAAGATGCATTGTAAGGTATAGGCAGTTGAACTCTACTTGAAGTCCCAAAAGGAGTTTCAAGGAAGAATGCTAGTTTATGACTAGAGTGAAGACAGTATGCTGTCAAAAGAACTAAAAACCTGTATTTATAAATTTATTTTCAAATCTAAAAGAAAATAATAACCCCAGGAGAAGATATGTCTTTTAAGAGACACATGGCCGAATAAATAATACATGAACACCAAAAGAGTTTGTGTGACTTCAAATTAAAGTAAAAACAACAATTACTAGTTTAGTCTATCAATGAAAGTGGAGGCTTGCCCATTGTATGTTGGTATCCTATGCTATTTGTATAATTTAATTGATGTCAATTTCTCTAACATACATTTTCAGGATCTGTATAAATATTGGCAAACCATGAACAAGTAACATAGGGTTTGATCCAAAGCTCACTGATGTCAATGAAAATACTTCCAGTAGGTTGGGCACTAATAGAGTTTACAAAAAAACAGTTTTATTTTGTTAGCCTCATTGCAGTTCATTTTCCCTTACAACCTAGTATAATATACTTATCTTGTACCACTTAATAAACTTTCTTTAAATCCTCAAGTTAAACATTTAACTCAATAGCTCTGCAAAATACCAAGAAGAACAAGTGTGCTACTATATTTATATGATTATTGAGCAGCATCTTTACTTTAAAATGTAATGGAGAGTAGTATCCCCCCTGCTCTGCTCCTGGAAATTGGCAAAGATGCATCTGCATAGAGCCCAGTGGAGGGAGGAAAACAACCCATTTTATGCAGAATGGCTTTTTCGTACAAAGAGGATTCTATTGGCATGTAATAATACTAACACCTAACTCTCATATAGCACTTTTCATCAGCAAATCTCAAAGTGATTCACAATTTTTAATGTATTTATCCTCGCAACACAGCACTGTGAGGACGGGAAGTATTGTTATCCCCATTTTTACAGATAGAGAACTAAGGGCTTGTCTTCACTTACAGAGGATCAACACTGCGGTGATTTAGTGGGTCTAGTGAAGACCCGCTAAATCGACTGCTGATCGCTCTCCTATCGACTCTGGTACTCCACTGTAACGAGAAGCATAAGGTAAGTTGACGGGAGAGTTTCTCCCGTCGACCCAGTGCAGTGTAGACACCGCAATAAGTCGACCCAAGGTATGTCGACTCCAGCTACATTATTTAAGTAGCCGGAGTTGTATAACTTAGGTCAACTTAGGCCCATAGTGTAGACCTGCCCTAAGTTAAGGCACAGAAAGGCTAAATAACCTACCCAAAGACACAGGAAGTCTGAGATAGATTTTGAGGGTGCAAGGATCCTTACATCTACTCTAAATGAGCAGCCAAGTATTCTCTCAATGTGAGGGAATCCCCAGCTGATACAAGCCAGCATAGCAAATGACATGATCTTCTCTTTCACTTCCTGAGGCAGGATTTGTACTGGGAGTGGGAGAAGATGTTTCACGGGCTGAAGCACACTGTGCTCTATAGATTGTTACTGTTATAATGGCCTCTCAGGAGATTTATAAGCTGGCGCAAGTGCCTCTTTAGGCCTCTAGCCAGTCCCGGGATTATGGAGCAGAAAGGTGGCTTAAAACCACCTTTGCCTTCTGTCTCCTTGTTAATGAGACCTTTAAGGTTTTCTACGGTGCTTCTGGAAATTCTGCTGTCATTTAGCTGCCTCAGTTCAGTCTGCTATAACTAGAGATTGTTTCTCTAATGAACGTTGCAGAGCGTATTAGAACTGAAGTGATTACCTGCAGCTATCAATATTGGTTATACAAGGGATAAGAGGGCAAAGTATGTCACAGCTTTATAGAGGAAAATCTGCACACTCTAAAATGCAGCCATTTGGCTGGGTTTCAAATGCAACCCAACATCTGTATATGTTACTGTGATGTATTCAATTAATTACTCAGTCCAATGCTTGTCCATCCTTTAAGGAAGCAGAACCATTAGTATGGCCTGATCTAAAAATCCATAGTTGAAATGTTGCCAAGTTTGTTTTGGTAACCTATCAAATTATTTAGAGCTCTCCTGTAGACAGCATTAATTGCATATTGGGTTTGGGTTTAATGTTATCAAAATAAACGTTTGTTTAAAAAGTCCAGTCTTATCTCTACAATTGTGAAAAGAAATGCGAACAAGATGATGCAGGTGCATTTAGTATAATGTTACAAACACGTACATTGTGGGCTGATGTGGTGTGACTCAGCAGTTACTTCCACTAGTGCAAAATGGCTGTAAAATGATGATCTTCAGTTTTGGTAGCATTTGACACCCAATTTGCACTGGTGTAAAAGACTACACAAGGTGCAGGGCAGTAGTGAATCGGGCCCTGTGTATGTTCACTTTAAAAAAAAAGGTGTCATGAATGTCCCCTAATATATAGTAAATACGAATACCATATACATTTTTAAACCGCCACATGCACACAAATACGTGCACATGTATAAAAAGGGCTAAAGTGCCATGTAAGAAAATAAAATGCTAGTTTACCAAAAGGTAAGATAGATCTATAGTGAAAATAATATTTCTCACATAGTTGTTTGTGTTTTTAAATGGATTCACTTTGGCTTTATTTGCAACCCTTTGTGTGCTATTTACTACTATAAATACTCATGGAAAAACGATTTTTAAGCTTTTGTGTTTGAATACTCTCAGAAAGCAAGCCATGGACATGACTGAATATTTCAAATAGTGAAGAAAGTAGAGAAAATCTCAGTGTGTTTGCATAAATGCTGTGACTAGAAAAGTAAGCAAAACTAGACAAATAGTTTTTCACTGATCTCTATTTCCAATGGTAAGATGATGATGATCTTGAACCTGCTCAGGTGGACAGAAGGGGAGATGTGTGTGTGTGAGAGAGAGAGAGAGTCTTTCCTCCACTCCTTATTATTATTTTTTTTTGCCTTTCTGCAGAGGCAAACCACAGACCAAGTACTTTCACTTCCTGAATGCAAGGACAGTACAAGTTTGTTACTGACACTAGAATGAGACTTAGCACATGGTTCCACATTGGCCAGCAGAACTTTACCAGTGAAGGTCAGAGGAGAACATGTATCATCCTGTAGAAAGGTGGCAGAGCTCCCATTCTAGTTTCTAATCCCCAGAGCTCTAAGAGACATTCTGAGGCAGCCAGAATGCTTCCTGGGACTCCCACTGATTCCCTCTAACAAAGGCCCAAGACTATACAGACTCCATATAAAAAAGAATCTCCATCTACCACTGAAGTGAAGGCACACTGGGGAGTGAAATGCCACAACTGTTTAACAGCACACAGCAACAACACACAAACCACAGGGGAGCTGAAGGCAGGTAGAGTGTTATTACCATGGCCAGAATGTTAGGTTGAGTGCTATGGA